TTTCAGTGAATATTTATATTTCTCGAAAATTAATCATATGATGGTAATGTTGCTTGTCACTATCGAAAACTTGGATAAATTGTTCATTATTATTCTCCTGTATAGTTATAAAATGAAAAAAAAGTATATTGAGCTATTGTTTTCAAAAAATTGAACTGATTAAGATAAATTCTTTAAAGAATACAAAAATGGAATAATGTAAATTCAAAATCAATATCGCTAAAATGAATCTATCTCTGTTATTTTTTTCATTAAAAAACAACTTTAAGTAGGTGAAATATAATATTTAGGAACACATTTTTAAGATTCGATGAAAATGTAGATGAGAGTCGGGTATTATGGATTACCGAGCAATATGGCAATATGGAATACCGAGGTTTTGGCTCTGTTGGTAACTGCTAATGCGTAAGAAAACCTTGAACTACTGAAGAAAGACTATCCTGATACCTTGCAGTGAGAGTTGATCACTTGCAGTTCCCAAACCACTCGCTCCAGAACAATGTATGTTTTGCGATTTTCAAAAGTTTTTGCAGGAAAGTTTTCAAACAAGTTAAACTGCTAGTACACATGTGACTTGAACATTAAAGTTAAGCATACTGTACACTAAAAGAATTGTAGTGTGTAGTACTGTGGTTGTTTTTTAGCTGAAAATGATTTGTCCTTCAGTTTAAAGTATCATTTTCCAAGATAGTGTGTCGGGGATTTTGGAATACTAGGTATTCCATATAACCCGAAAAAATATATTGAATAGCAATAAAGTTAAAAAAATGAGTTTTGAGTAAAGTATTGATGGCCTAACAATAGTTATTTAATTATATAAATAGTAATATAGCCTCATTTAAAACTAAAGAACATTTTTTTTAGAAGTTAAATGTATTGGAATGGAAACAAAACATAATTTTTTCTGTTATTTGAAAATTATTTTATATTTCAAGACAGGATACACAGCAGTAAACGACTTCAAAGGGACTGGTATTTAGCCTGTTTACAGAAATGTCTTTAGCAGTGAATATTTTATTGCTTTAGGGTCTTAGGCATCCAAATGACCATATTCCACATTCGTCTACAAGCTCTGATACACCGCAACCCTATTTTTCCAAATCCCTGGTATGGTTATCCCTGATTCGTCTAAGTCAACAAATTTTGTCTTCCTCCAAAAAAGCATAAGTCAAATATACAGGCAGGAAAGCTGGGTCTTTTTTTACAACATTCTATTACCCATGTAAAAAAAACGCTACAGGATAAACTAAAAGAAACGAACAAAAGGAAGGAACCAGAGGTTATAAAACAACAAAAGAACATTCAAAAACCTTTTGTTAAGAATTCAAACTTGAACCGACCTTCTACACCTAGACTTACTGCAGGTGACTCCAGTGTTTGCAGCAATGAATCGTTCCCGTTTGATATATCCTTTGTAACAGACTTCATGCCATCAACTAAAGAATCAGAAATAAGTAAGATACAGAAGATAAATATATGCTAAATGTATGTTCTGAAATGGAAAATTTTTCGAAGATCAACGAGAGGAAATTTAGATTCAATGCTTTAGCTCTTTTCTGTGGGTTCATCTTGATTGTACTTGACTCAAAACAAAAGACTTTCACGTATTCTTAAAAATATGGCTTTTATAGTTAAAAATAACTACGTTTTCTGAAAATCTTAATTAGTTTTCCAATGGTTTGAACAACCTTTTCCATATTACCCGACTAACCCATAATACCCTCCATTTATCATTTTTCTTTAAAATTAATTTTTTTTATAACTACAAAATCAATATTACTTTTTTGACAATTGATAAGTCCTTACAATCACTTGTAGAATACATCCACGATGGTGGATATTTTTATTAAAAACCAGTAAAGTTATTTTTAGAAAATGCATATGGTATTCCATAATACTCGACTATCATCCATAAAAAATTAAATTGCAGATGTGGGATTAGCTTTGACTATTAAGGGCTTTGTTCCACCATTTTTGTGCCATGACAAAATTACATAATGTAAAGCATTTGTCAACTGCGATAAAAGAAATAAGCTTAATTTAAATGCTATTATTTAAATTATTGTACATAAAACTTCGAAAATCCTACTTTGTATAAAACATTTTCCAAACATTTGTGGGTCATTCTGAAATATATGATTACAGGATGCAATGTACCTAAAGAACAAGAAGGTGTGTCGAAAATTCGTATTAAAGTGTTGCACTTTCTTTCGAATGATTTTTGCGGTATGTGGTTTGACATTATTAATTAACGGTTAGAGAAAGAAAAATTCTTTTTACGTCAATTATGAAGGTCGTCTGGTGGTAAGAGCAAGTTAAAACTCATCTAACTGTCAGACAGAGATCGTTTGGTTTATTTTCAAAAAGTGAAATTACAAAACGCCCTACATATTTTGCTACTTATGTCATTAAAATCTTTTCAGGATGCAAACTTTGATTAATAATGGGAATTGATTATTGACCTAAATTTAAGCATTGCAATCTTCTTTCCACATACTAAAAGACATCTTTTCTTTTCGTTAACAATACGTCTAAAATTTATGCTCTATAATGGAAATATTGAAGCGTAATTTGTTTTAATTTTTCATGAACTTGAGTTTCATTTACGTTTAACAAATGAAGAATATTTTAAAAAATAAATGACACGATATATTTCGGAACTTTTTATTCGTTTAGTTAAATTCTTATTATTTAAGCCACTTTATGCGTATATTTTTTTCCATTTTAATGCATTGAAACAATATAATTTAAATAAAGTTCATATCATAATAAATATTAATCTCTGAAGTTTTGAAAAACATCTTAGATTTAGTCGTGGTGTGCAGTTCCTGAGCATAAATTTTGTGTTTAAGATCTATTTACCAGCATGCAATTATAATTTGTAGAGTGAATTGAGTTAACTCTAAGTACAAAAGGAAGTTTTAAGTAATATAAGGTGGCATATAAATATATATAAATGAAGGATGTAATGTGGCATATAAATGAAGCAAATAATGTGGTATATAAATGAAGCAGTCTTTTGAGAAGTGATATCAAATTTATCAATTTTACAAAATGTAATTTTTGACTCTATGTTTTAATTAATGTGAATCTCATTTAAATTCTTTTCAGAAGCATTGAAAATTCTTCAAGAATAATATAAATTTGGTCCTTGTCTAAGAATAATTGTAAAATAAAGTACAAGCGGGTGAAAGTAGAAGTTTCGACTAAAAATAATTTTAAAACTTTTCTTTTTTTCTTTTCAACTTTCACTATTTTAATTCTGACTGTGTCAATCTTATTTAAATTTTCGGTATAGAAAGAGCTAATAATAACGATTACTATGTCACTCATTTGGTAGTTTGTCTTCACCTATTTCGCTGTTTCCTATAAGTTCACTTGCATTGACGAAATAAGCAGGTCTTTTATGACTACTACACTGGTTCACTCATTTCAAAACCTTCAGTGAAAAAAACCTGAATTCTCAAAGGCAAAGAAGACCCCAAATGTCTTTCAAATTCATTTTTCTACTCTAAAGAAACCTTTTTAAAAAAACCGGTCGGAGGAGAAAGTTGTCTAGAACTCCTTCAAAAATTAACTTTAAACAAGTCGGACGCAGTCTAAAACAGGTCTCTGGTAGTCAAATATGTGGGTCAATCGATGTACCGATGTTCGTGGGGTCGGGACCTCTAGAACCTCCTTTTCTTGTGCACCTAGATGAGAATGGAATGACAAAAAAAAATTATACCCGCCAACGAGCAGAAAAACACTGAAGTTTTTAAATAGATATCATATGCACGAAACTGTTTTTAGTATGCGAGGGCGCTATTGTTTTTTGTTTATAGTGCAATACTTAAGACAGATGCTGCCACAATGCATATTGTGTGTATCGTAGTTATGTAACCTGGATTATTTTCGATGCAAACTCAAAATGGAGTCCAATGACATAACACCGTGAACCTGAATTGCTTAGATTTATAAATGAGAAGAAAGAGCTTTAAGAAAAGATTTATTGCTGGGTTACTTTTTTCCCCAAAAAGGAAGTTACTCGGTTCAAAAAATGTGCTATTTAAAAACTCATTTTTTAAGCTTCTCATTTTATTAATTTTTTTCTCCAAAATCTCAACAGAAGAGGTGGTGAACCCCTTCTATATATTACAAGACGCAATCTGGGTGTAACAAACCTGAATCCAAAAAATTAATTTTACATTATTTTTAACTTGTGTCTTATTTATGATTGCACAAAAAACACAAAAATAATTCGACTACAATATTTATATTTGTATTGAATGTTTCATGCTCATGATTGGTAAAATAAAGGAAAAGGTTTTAAACAACAACGCAACTATGAAATACAAAAGCAGAAGAAATACAGAATTAAGTACTAACTTATAAGAAAATGTAAGGTGTGATAAAGTTTCTAATTTTTACTTGAATAAATAAATGATCAATTTTAGAAAGATCTCAGAGGTAATTCTTCATACCTTTTTATGTATGTTAAAATAAATATTTTTTATAATTAAACAATTCTTTTTTTTTTCGAAAATAAGTTATTCTCAACATTAAATCAATCATATATTTTGTTTCCTTTGCTCATTTTTCGCGTAAAAACTTTAATCTGTTTTCCGCGATACTGAATTTAAATAGGTTATTTTCATTATTGTACACTTGCTTCAAGTCATTTTTACACCACTATTTGTTAAACAATTTTAAAAGGTGAAATGAAATGTATCAGATTACTTGTAAATTAATTACAATATTTTGAAATATGTTAGAAGGTATTTAGAATAAATGCAAAATGACAGAAAATTCGTTTTTTTTAAAAAATTTTATAATGAGATTAATAGTGTGTTTTTGATGTTGGCATAGCTAGTTTTGATTGAGTCCCTTATCAAAACTCCTTCGGGGAACTTTTTTAGAAATGAAAATACTATTAGTGGTACTGTAGTATACTAACACACCGAATAAAATGCCGCAGAATAAACGTAAGTGGGCATTGAGTAAGTTGCGTGAAAGCCGTCGCCATCATAGCTCAGTGGCAGAGCACTGGTCTTGTAAACTAGGGGTCGATCCTCACTGGTGGCTTTTCGAATGCTTACTCAAGCAGGGTATTCTTTAAAATTAAAAGTCGCATAGTATGTATTTTTCATTTAACGGTGCATTTGAAACCTAGATTTATCGGGAAATATTTGACACTTATTTTAACAAACTGGGGCTCCCGTATCATTGATACAATTGATACGACGGTAGCTACGCCACTGGCTTTTGAATGTGATATAAACTTTAGCTTTTTAACTATAGAATTATAACAAAAATTATATATTTTAAGAATGTTATCCATTATTGAAACTAATACGATATAAAAGCGTGGGATTATTTTAATTACCTACTAATGCATTGCAATCTATATTACAGCAATCTATATCATTCAATAGCAAGATATGAGATATTTTATTACATATCTAAGAGAAAATTCCCCAATGAAATTTAAAGGGAAAAAAATGAAAACTAATGTCGGTATCTAAAACATAAAGCAAGTAATATAACCCAATGTATAGCAAAAGAATACTTTAAATAAGCAGTTAAGAATTCTTATTTTGGTACCAGCTGTTTTTTTAAGTGTATCCGATCATCTTATGATAACTGAAATCCGAATATAAAGGATATTTCATTTTATTCATATCTCTGTCTATTTTTGCTCAAACCATTCACCCACGCTCGGCAAATAAACGACCTTTAAAATATAATAGAGCTATTAAAATAAAAATAGCTCAAATATGCGCTCCCAGTGATCTCATTTTAATTTTACTTGGAATAACGTCATGCATTTTAAATTAAATCTATGTATGAAAAACAGCTTTATCATTTCCATCTTAATAATTTGAGTTTCTCGTATTATGATTTTATAATTGTAAAAATTACCTCTCAACTCATCTAGGCTTTATGTAACTGATAGACTAGGCGCAAAAGTATGAAGGGAAAAATAGAGCCATTTTAAAGGTCAACAGCAACGAATGTTTAAGCAAGAAAAAGAAATAGCATCTTTTGTATTGCAGGAAAAACGGTATATATATATTCAGGGTAAAAATGACAAACAGGTGCAAATGATTCTTTTTTCCTAATAAAAACAAAGAAAAGAAAGATTTATTTAACTTAAAAGTCTATGTCGATTTACATTTAATAAAGAAAACATTTAAAAGTGCACATGAATATATATATATAAAGAATGGTGCATGCAAATTAAAATATACATATAAATGTTTAAACCTTTTCGGCCACACATAAAAGGAACAAAAAAAATTGCTCTCAATATTGAAAAAATGTTTAAATGCTATGAAATTTTTTATTATTTTTAAATTTAATTATTCAGCACTAATTTTATTTCTGTTATTGATATTCCAGTTATTAAAATTCCCTTTTTTCGTTAGAACGGGGTAAAGTTTATGTGACTTATTATTGAAATCACTTTATATTCCATGTTAAATCCCTTGATATTTATTTTTTGTGTACCTGTATTTTATTCTGAAGGTATGTTTAAATACAATTAAATTAACATTATTACAAATCAAAGTAATCTAAAATATAAGCAATCAACATCCTTCCTCCTCCTAGCAGTCCGTGGTAAAATTACTCGATGTTGACAGATCCCGGGCGATAAAAAGTTTGGAGAGCACTGATCAAGAGAACTTTTACAGGATTTAGAATGGTCATCACTATAATGCTTGTTAAAACATTCGCTTAGCTCATTATAAACTCTGGTAATGAGAATGAATGAATATACTGTTTTTTATGTATTCATTTTTCTTATATTGAAACCATTGAACTGATTTACATTTATTAGACCAAGAATTTGACTCTTCAATCTCAATTGTAATGTACTCATCTTAAATTCCCCCCAACTAGAGATATTTAGGTCAAAACCTTTAGCCTTGTAACTGTCATTGGATTAACTTTGACAGACTTTTCAATTATTGACGATCGAACATATTTTCAAACACCTTATTATTTCATAATATAATAAGAACAAATTTATATATATATATATATATAAAACACATGTGAAACTTCATATAAGAAATTCTAGCATGATCAAAAAGAAAGTTTTTAAAAGTGTTTTGACGAAGTTGCTCGAATGTTTCTTTAACCATCTCATCTCGAGTGATAACTTACCAAAATTGATGTTTAGGCAACTTTTATAAAAACTTCAGCCACCTTCATTTTTGTGCCAAATGCATAATATTGTTCCCATGCAAATACTTCCTTTTCCAATTGTTTTACTTTATGTGGTGTATATTCATATTTTGTTTTTCTATGAACATCTTTCACACAAGTATGATGTGAAGAAACAGACTTTAGATTTGTTTTTGTAAAAGAAAAATTAAGTCTATATAATTAGTATTTTCCTTATATTTGTGGAGTTTTAATGATGCATTAAAGTTATCACCGCTTTGTAAATAAGACGAATTTTTAGCAACTTATATATATAAGAAGAAGTTTTCTATTTTTTTTTTAACATCAATTAAGTAATGAGAAAATTTTCTATTTTAAATGCACAAGCTTGAAAAACAAGGGATTGCATTATAGAGTGAAGAAGTGACTGAAATAAATGGTACGATGGTGAACTTATCTCAAAAGCTCGGCCTGCATAAGCCTTAATTTACCCGATTAAGATTAATTTATCCGAATTTTTCAACAAAAGATACATTAGTCAATTTTCAATTACAATATTAATCTTTAAATTAATAAAAATCATTAAATCTCTTCGTTTTATGTAATAATAGAGTATGAATCTCATACACTCTATTTATTCTTAGCATAATTTTCTATTAAAATAATTGCAAAATACAAATTAGAGAGTGTACTTAAAATTGCAATGAAATTAAAAGCTTTAAAATATTATAGAAAATAGCTCCGAGATCTTATATTGTAAATGAAATATATATATATATAGTAAGCAGTATGGTATAAAAAAGACATGATTAAATTTGTATGCATTTTGGGAGCATACAGGGTTCGAAATTAGTGTACATAACTAATAAAATGGCTCTAATCTAGATCGGCATCAAGTCTATATAAGCTTGGATGACAAACATGGGCAGGTCCATGCAGCTTCAAGACAATGCCATAATTCTTCAATCCTAGTGCTTGGTGAGAGTTGGGGGCCAAGTCTCTCAACAACACATGATTAAATGTTAACTGTGGGTGAGATCTGGAGAACGTCGTACTCCATCTGAGTTGAGGAAGGTCAGGACACAATGGACAACATGCCATCTTGCGTTACCTTTTTGAGAGATGATGTCTCGGAGTCCTCAAAGATATGACACAGCCGCAGTCACTTAAGATCTGAGAAATGTAACTAACCTTTCTTAAGATACGAAAAATAAGTGTTCGTGTCATGTGTTCAATGGCTGAACATGCTGTCAGTAAAGTGCAGGGCCCATATGACGATATCGGATGCAAGCAAACCATATGCGTTCTCCTCTGTGCCTCCAGACAGAGATGCGTCTATTATGATGCGCAGAACCAGAACTCGCGCGAAAAGCCGACGTGTTGCCAATACCATATCTAGTTTTGTTGTTGTCACTGCACATTTCTCATATACAGTGTCAAGGGAAACCGCAATCCAGTCCGAGCTGCTCCAGACGTTGCAAATTATAAATATCCACACTGTCCGTGTGGATATTTGTACTGCAACTGCCACTTACTTCTCACTTACTGCGCAAACTTCCTAATTCAAGGTCAGTAATCGATCCTGTAAAGCTTACCTGAGAATATATCCATCCTCTCGGGTGTTAGTAACAGGACGGATGCTGTAGTATTATAAACAATGATGACAGAGGACAGTTTTTAAACTTATATAAAAATAAATAGGGTTTATCCAGTTTTTTATGGCTAGCTCTGTGTATAACACTGAGTAAAACCCTATAAAAATAATGGATAGAAGTTCAAATACCAATAATTAGCAAAGAAACCTATTTGAAAACCGTTTATAAAGCATTTTACTTTTCATGTACGAACTTAAAACTTTTCGGGAAAAGGAGAACGAGGAAGCCTTTATGACGGCATTTATTTAACAAATTCTTTTGTATTTTCCGCAGAAAACATTCTTGACAACATCCATCATCATATTGTCAAGAGTTTTAATCAAATATAAAGAAACCTTTTGTTTGGGAGAAGTCATGTGAGTCTTTCAGACTATATAACTAATATTTATTTTAATCATAGTTCAGCAGTGAAACGAATAGGTCAGTCGTTACTAATGGAACAACAGAGCTTGTTGTTATTATCTAATTTAAAAATGGAAATGGAATTTTTGTAGTTGTTGAATAGAGTTATATTGTCCTTTCAGTGTTTGCTATGCATAAGTGTTTCATTGAATATGCATCCCTAACTTTCTTCTCGTTCCGGGTTTTTCAATGTGATTACAAACATTTTTTCCGATAATTATTCTACTCAAATTCTAAATATATCTTAATTTAATGTTTGTAAACGTACAAAAAAATGTTTCCCTTTTTGTAGGGTATAAATAAAATTTTTTGGAAATTCTACGGAAAATTCCTTTTGGAAAATCTGAAAAATTTTGATTTTCTCGAATGAATAGAATGTACTTCTGATTTCTCTTTCAGATACAATGGCATGTGAAGGCTAAAAATATTGTCTCTAAATTTCTATTTTTTGGATGTATTTAGAGCAGAAAAATAATTATATATTGCTAGTGCTTGGGTGAAAAAAAACAGAATGAATAAATGGGAAAATATTATTGTTAACTTACTTTGTGCAAAATAGTTTTGAATCATAAAATTACAAAAGTGCTTGAAAAGTGATTGGCAATCTTTAATAATTCCTTTCGTTTTAAAATTTAACTTGCTTGGAAGATCTCCTTTTATTCTTATTTATTTAATTGTGTAAAGATGATTTTATTCTATTTTGTAGATTCCACTTCTTCCAACAAACCCGAGCTCCTTTCCAAAATTTTATACAAATATTCAAAAAACTGAAGTGAACTGCATGTTTTTTGTCTTAGTGCTTAACCACATTATTAAAAGATTGAAGAGATCGAAGAAAATCATTTCTGAAAAAGAATT